TCCCAAAACACCCCAAAATGTCCCAAAAATCCACCAGAACCTCCCAAAACATCCCAAAATGTCCCAAAATCCACCAGAACCTCCCAAAACACCCCAAAAATGCACCAAAATCTCTCAAAACAACCAAAATATCCCAAAAACCTCTCAAAACAACCAAGATATCCCCAAAATCCACAAAAACCTCTCAAAACACCCCAAAAATGCACCAAAAACTTCTCAAAACACCCCAAAAATGCACCAAAAATCTCTCAACCCAAAAAATGCAGCAAAGCATCTCAAAACGCCCCAAAAATGCACCAAAAACCTCTCAAAACGCCCCAAAATATCCCAAAAAATGCACCAAAACCTCTGAAAACAACCCAAAATATCCTAAAAATCCACCAAAACCTCTCAACCCAAAACCACCCCAAAAACCTTTCAAAACAACCCAAAACAACTCAAAAATCCACAAAAAACCCAAAACACTCCAAAATGTACCAAACCCTCACAAAACACCCCAAAATATTCCAAAAATCCACAAAAAACCTCTCAAAACAACCCAAAAAATGCACCAAAAATCTCTCAACCCAAAAATCCACAAAAACCTCTCGAAACACCCCAAAAATCCACAAAAAACTCTCAAAACAACCCGAAACTGCACCAAAACCTCTCAAAACAACCCAAAATGTCCCCAAATCCCCCAAAATCTCCCTTAAATTTCCCAAATCCCCCAAAATCTCCCTTAAATCTCCCAAATCTCCCTTAAAATTCCCAAAGTCCCCAAAAAAACTCATTTAAAATTCCCAAATCCCTCCAAAATCTCCCTTAAGTTTCCCAAATCCCCCCAAAATCTCTTTTAAATTTCCAAAATCCCCCAAAATGTCACTTAAAATTCCCAAATCTCTATTGAAATTCCCAAATCCCCCCAAAATCTCCCTTAAATTTCCCAAATTCCCCCAAAACATCTCAGGACCCATCAAGGTCCTCCACAACCCCCCCAAACCCCTCAGAACACCCCAAAATTCCTCAAGATTCCCCCAAAATCGCCTCAGAACTCCCCAAAACCC